TTTACACATCTTTACACCACATTGCACTAGACCACACTACACTATACTACACTACACTAGACAACACTACAGTACACTACACTGCATGATACTACACTAAGTACACAACACCACTCTTACAACTGCAACTGCAACTACACTAATTACACTACGCTATAACTACAACTGCACTATACTGCACTACATCACACTACATCCAGCAGTTGTGGGTGAGGTGACCACTGCAACCACTGCAACCACTCCAAAAAACACAGCTCCAACCACCTTTCGGTCCATGAGTGGATTCGCTCTGCCATCCATCATAACAACAACTCACCTCTCCTATAGTGTCCTATCTTTGAAACTTCCGCCACCGCCTTGCGCGGCGCGGTACCCCTGGTAATATGTATATATATATGTAAATATTTATTTATAGCTATATAATATATTCCATATATAATATATTCCATATATGGATGTAGTGGACATCTACAGATATGTTTTCAATATCATATATCATATATGTAAATATTGTGGTTTTGTGGTGGATATATCTGTATACGACATGTAGCCAGATGGAGGAAATGTGGATAAAACCATACAGTTTTTGGGATTGTGTATATCCCAAGGATCCAGCCGTACCGTACCTGAGGAAATATGACAGGGGTAGGATTTAGGGGTCGATTTTGTCCGTTTGAAAAGGAAAGAAAAGGACATATCTGGATCCATAATTGTTGTTAAAAAGCCAAACATAACTCCTGCCCTGAGAGCTTGAACAAATGAAGCAGTGGCAAATCCCGAAGCCCAGTTTGGTATTTACGGGAAGGTGTCCAGGAATGTCCAGGAATCGAGTCTCTTATTATTGTTCTTACATGCAAAGCCATATCTATGGCATCATGTTGACATAGTGTGTTCATCTTACTGAATTTTATATCATGTCCTCATGGTACAGATTTGGCGCTGAGATCTAGTCCTCTCGTGGCATGGGACTCCAGCATCACACCGACAACCAGAATAATAGGTCACCCATGGGCAATATGACCAGTGGCTAAGCAAGAGAGTTTTATGAAAAAAATGAAAGAAAACAGTGCCGTCCACACAAATGGCCACAATGCTAAGGCCATATTGGACCCGTGCAGTCTGATCAGTCTGGCAAACACATCATGCTGACTGGTGTCGGCATGGTATCCACTGATGTATACAGTACTAAACCTATAGAAGCCTGAAAATGCGAGCCCCCACCGCTAGGTGTGTTGCCACTTCTTCCTTGATTTTAGCAGTTACATCACATCACGTGAAACCATATGAAACCTACACGTATATAATGCAATACAACATATGCACATGCATACTGCATACATATTACATATTGTAAATATGTACAAAAAGTATACAAGTAGAACTATCATAATCTCTACGGGTATGTCATACATTGTCAATGCAAATATCCACTGGTTGGACAACATCCTCGCCATGATCACTGCCGTTTTGATGTATAATACAAAAGCATGATTGCTGGCTAATACCTCCATAACTGTATTTCCGGTTTTACAGGTTAAAGCATCCCTATATAGCCCCTTTGTATTAAGTTGGTAAAGCCCATTATTGCTGGTCAATTTCACAGCAATCAGAGATTTAGTACACCGTTTACAAACTACTAACGATTTATGTCCCCATCTTTATTGGCTATAGGCTATAATCCCCTTGACTGTTTGTCAATATTCCGAATTGTGCATATATCTAATGGGAACGAAAGTTTGTCATGGAATGCTGGATATAGTTGAGGTGTTAATGTTCATTAAGAAAAACTGACGTGCGCAAACCTGACGGCCATTTGATCCCCAACTAACATCCACTGATCCACGGGGCTTTTCCGCAGTGATCATCAATATACCGTGCTACCCCTTGCCCCCCATTTTTCTGCAGCCAACAGGAAGTGATTTAAAATAGCCACAATTAAAGATTTACATCCCAATCATCTCTTGGCCTACAGGTTTACAGAATGTCAAACAAGTTTGTACAACATAGTCGATGATTAAATGGATTTACAATGATAATGAAAACAAAATTAATTGTGGTTTATACGATGAGTTTTTATAATTTATGTGCCTTTTCAATCCTTTTAATATACCAATAGTTACTGACACGTTTGTGTGTGAGCCATCGACCAAGTTAAAAAATAGTAGATATGGCATGTTCATGGGATTGCAATGGGATTCCATGGGTATTAAAAATCCCTATGAACATAGATTGATGACCATCCTCCAATCATTCTGGCATGTCAAGAAAAATCATAAAGTTGTATAACGACCATAAATTACAAATAAATATTATGATATATATATATATATATATTATTGTATTGTATTGTATTATATTATGTTATATTAAATTATGTTATATATTATAATATTATATTATATTATGCTATATCATAATATTATTATATATTATATTAAATCATATTATGTCATATTATATTGATATCGTGTTATATTATATTACATGAAATTATATGATATATATATATATATTAAACCACAATTCCACAAAGTCAAGTTTTGTAATGTTCATACAGTTCCTAATGTACTCATAATATAATATGGTTTCTTCCATGGCCCCGCCAAAACTCGCGCCTTGCGCGTCAACGTGGAGATGGTCTTATGCATCGCCTGGAGATGGAGTGATCTCACCACCAAACATGGGACATGTCAGCTTAGTAGGGAATGGATGGGAATGGGGGTTGCTGGGATTATTATCAATAGTTATTGTCAATAGTTATTATGGATCATTGCCTCATTCCCTACGAAGCACCAGTAAGCATACGTCAGAATTCAAGCGAAGAAACGTTTGAACATTGATTTTAACGATCCAAAATGGGTGTTTAACCCAGAAGAACTCGCTTTCACCAACCACAATCCTAACAATATGCTCGTGGAACCATCCAAAATTTGGGACTTAATATAATCCAGCAAAAACCCAATGGATAGTAGATGATTCGTAGACAAGGGTGATAAGTAGCTGAAGCCTATCCTGCATGATACTTGGGCATATTATTGGGGAATTGCCACTGATTTATACATATTTATACCACGGTACGCCATTCTTTGATCAATTAAACCCCCAAACGAGATGTAACGAGAGTGTGGGATTCAACCATGTACTGTAAATCGAAGAACCATGCAATGTTTGGGAATGGCCCTGAACTATTCCCATTGCGTTGCGGAGCATAGCCCATTTATCAACACCGGAAAAGGATTACGACAGGAAGCCAATGGAAACGATATATTTCACAATACTTGGAAATGAACAATATTTTAATGAGAAAACATTAATTAACCGTTTTGAAAAGTGAGGATTGGAATGATCCTCCAATGAATCACACCTGGTTTGCGACCATTTGAAGGAAGGACTATTCCGTTCACCACTCATACGTGAAATACCAACCTACTTACCTATGAGAATGGATTGCTAGATAGCGAAATGCACGGGTTTAGACTTAAAGCGGGTTAAAGCCTGTGGGTGGTGGGTGTGGCATTTTGGATTGACACCAGGACTTCCATGTGCGCATACATGGTGAAGGATGTTTCAGTGAAGAGTAGTAATTCCTGGCGCTGTCACCCACTCTGAAAATTATCCATTGGGGCATTGGGATTGATAATCATCAGTGCCAATCTTAGATACCCTGCAAAAAAAACAAACAATCTTAGCTGGTGAACGTAGATTTTCCTATACCAAATAGCTACAGGATGAGTTTCTACTCTTTTCTACCCATCTAAGATGGACCTAGTAATGTGCAGCAACGCCGCAACTTGAACCCGCAGCGCAGTGCCTGTATCCCGTCGATTGAGACACAAATGCGTGGCCGCCGGTCAGCATAGATGGGGTCTACGAAGACAATCTGCCGAAATCGTCCACGAAGAGCCAGGGAATTGGGGTTCCATGCTAATTTAGGGACTGGAACTAGCAAATGCTGATAAACATCCGGACACCGGACTGATTGCATCTAAAATTTCTGTTCTTCAAAGATCATCTGCGCAAACCTTCAAATATAGATTCAAAAAAACATGTTGTTTCAGGTGGTCATGGGTCTATGGGGCAGTACTGGCCCTGCTGAACGGCGGTTAAAACATGTTGAAACAATGTGAGACGTGGGCTCTGTCTTGGATCATCCCCAGAATCCCCGGGTCCTATCCCAAAATGATATGGGTTTGGGAACAGGCTACCCCAAGATCCCATGGTTTATCATCCATTTTCATCAATTTTCCCGATTAGAATTGTCATTTTATGGATATATATATATACCACATGTTCAGACCCATCAATTCACCATGATGATCCTCATGATGATCCTAAAACCCAGTCATTTCTCCACCTCGCGCAGCGTACCACCCTTGCCATCGTTGTAAAACACCTCCCAGGTGTTTTACAGGCACTGGGAACACTTCCTAAAGTGAGATTTATTGCTGGGAATATCATTCATGGGGGATTTTGTAAACCACGTTTGATTCTTTGTAAAGCTTAGATATCTTACATACTGTACCCGGATTTATCTGGATTTGGTTGGGAATATCTGAAACGGAACCCATTCATTTAACCACTAGCTAGCAGGTGTTTCCTGCACTCATATAAGGATTTAGAGCCATGGCTAAAGGAGCCGTGGCAAGAATACAGTAATCTGCAGGAATTGGGAAGTTTGATTTGTCACCATTTGTCTCTTATTAGCCACCGTTTGTCTCTTATTTGCCATGATTTACCATAATTTGCCCTGGTCAAATGGAAAAGCAATTTGCCATCATTTGCCACTATTTGATTATATGTTTGGCCTCGCTGCCTCTGTCTGGCACGACTTTGGGAAGACCAGTATTCATGGCAATGGCGCGAACCAACAACAACATTATGAGTTACATTTTTTTCAGCAGGTTTTTTGGCACACATTTCAGTGAATAAAGAGTAAGGAGAAATTAATTTGAATCAATTTCATCGGTTCACTTCTTGCAGCATGGGAGTGGCTGCCAACAATGGACCCTGATTCTCAAGCGGCTGACACACTACCTGCTGATCTCGTTGACTTTCCCTATGGGTCAGAAAGCTACCTGTCCGCATACAGTTAATTAATAATTACCACAGGGGAGGCGTGCATAGGAATTATTCCTATTAACTACATATTTATCTCAATGTTTCCTATCAATCAATCATCATCTGTGAGTCAGTGCTTCATTGAAATCAAATGATATCTAGCAAATTGATTAAGTATCTATATTATTTTTCTCCCTGAATAATTATATTATATATATATCATTACTCGTCCATGATCATTATGAATCACTCACATATCTGAGGTTTTTTTCACGTTGGGGAGACACCACTTGTATGCTGGCAAGCAGTGGGCGATGACCAAAGACAATGCGAGTGGAGTGTGCCACATTTGTTTTCTGGTTTGAGGATACTGGCATCTATCGATGAGGAGGTAGAGGAAGGCTGCAAATTTGAGGATCTAACATGGTCAGAAAAAATGCGTAGAGCACGATGCTGGGTGAAACAGTCTTACCACACATATTTTTTGGTTTTACTTGACTTTGACATTTTTGGGCCAGATAGTATCATTGGAGTTCTAATATTATTCTGATGTTATTTGGAATATAATTTAAACATTACTATTTTTTTCATACGGCATTCCCCTTTAATTAATTTAATATCTGTATGAAATGAACACTGTTGTTGTGTTGTTATGAATCACTACATCTGAGGATTGTGGAAAAAGTCCTGCAAAGCGAGTTGGAACAAAACCCATGGTTTATTATGGCCCGGTGTGGACCCCCCTGATCTACTGCTACCCATGGCTGTTTCTAAGCGCAAAAGGGAGGAACAGCAGGAGCAGAACAACTCGTACTTCACAGAGTCTACGCTTCCTACCTCGATGCTGTTTTCTGCATTATGTTCCCAGATCACTCAGCATAGATTGAGAACCAGGTCGAGATATGCTGCGTGCAGACTGTTGTATGACATTCTGAAAAAGCTCACTGGAACAGGAAAAATGAAAGTTGCATTCACAGCCGAGGGTAGATTGTACAACATTGCAATTCCAAGAAGTGGTTTGGTGAACTCCTCTATCATTGGTAGCTTCATGGATGATGCGGTATCCCTTTCAGATGTCAAACGATCTTGGCGGAAAGATGCGCAGGACTCGTTTTTTCAAAATGTGATTCACAACAAATATTTGTTTAAGTTTATTCATTATGATCGACATAACTAACTAACTAACTCCCACTGATTGTTGGTTATTGTGCCGTTTATGCAGTGCAGGATGCTGACAAAACGTGGATCTATGGAAACTGGGGGTCTCAGACTGATTAGGCGTCATACCTGGTTTTTTCATTAGATCCGAGCCTTGTTGTAAGTAAGTACAATTTTTATTATGTATATTCATTGTACCCCTTATTTTTTATTATTATTATATGAAAAATGCATGCTTTGTTGTTGAACTTAATACTCACTCTGAGCTTAGGACAAGCCCGAAGGCATTGAGGACATGTGCTTACCAACTGCTAGCTCAAGCTGCTTGTTTTCTGGTGTTTCGGCTGCGTGATTATTGCCTCTCTCACTGGGCCTACTAAGCACTTGACAGAACCAGGCACAATTGAACAATTGTACAGCTCATTAGTAAGTGACTGTTGAACTAAAGATTGTAAAACTAATCATGCAAATCTATACATATCTGTCATTAATTATAGTATATCAATCCTTTCGTTCCATTTAGCTGCCAAGGATTCCGTTTTTTTGGAATTGGTGGCGCCAACGACAAGGAAGACCAGAACCCCTGCTCGCTGCAAGCAACGCGTGAATCCAGCTGTACTTTGGGAATGCATCCAGCAAGTGAAAACTAATGCTGAGACTTGTCATCGTTTAGCAAATAAACCCTTCATTCCAGTAACGATACATTCAACATATGATTGTACTGACTGGGATGGATGGTATTTTGCATTGAAGATTAACAGCATGAATAATGAATGAAACAAAATACCAAAGACAAATCATTTGACTCGATTCAGGATAATCAATGAAATTCCAACACTAATACAAAAACAACCAGCAGCGGCTCAGGAACACCTTCTGTCAAGTGCGTTCAAGAAGCACGACGCTTTCAAAGGCTATGACAGCAGCAAGATCGGGGCTCACTGCGGGTTTACCTGTGAACGGTATTCTGTTTCATGGCTCCTACTTGATTTTGTTAGTTAGGAGATGCTTACTTATTTCATTGTACCTTTGACATTCATTGATCTGATAATCCCTATTTGAAATCTGGGTTCATTATTATTATTCATTAATTTCGAGGTTCAGCAGGTATTTGACTCTACCAATGCCGGCTATTGCAGCGTCTCAGTGACTCAGGCTGCATATCTTCAGGCTGCACACCGAGAAATGGGTCCTGAGATTCATCGACATGCTGCTTGACTGAAGGGCAAGCATCATTAGACTGCTTGGGTCAAACATGTGGCACTGACTGGAACCAGAGCCACACCAAAGATAAAAACTGTCTTCTCTTGAGTGAATGATGGCCAAAATGAAGTCAAGGATTAAAATTCAAATACTGTAGTCATAAGCAGTCACTGATTGGCTTGAAGCCAGGTTGCCTTTGACGGAACGTCCATTGGCAAGGCCCCTTTGGAGGGATACGTATGGCATTGCAGCTTGGCAGCTGATCTGTTGCAAATTGTTGATTGAGGGGTTCCGATTGTCAGTCTGTCAGTGACTATTTTTTCCCTTACCTTCAACTGCAAAGCCATCTACTGCTAGAGCTCATGGTTCCCACCCATATTTCATAGCCAAGCATCAGCTCCGGCTAGAGATCGGCAAAGGTCCCAATATCAACCTGGTTGGCTATGCTCCGCCACTGGTGCCTTGTTAGCAACTTAAATTTGTGGGGTCATCACTGGAGACTCAGCCCATTTGATTCAAAGTAGGTTACAGTAAGTAAGTACCATGAACTTAAGTGTTGTTATGGCAGTGCCTGTTTTCAGGCTCAAATGCGTCCAAAGAAAGTAGCCTGGTTGATCTATCTATTTATTTTTTATGTATCTATTTATGTTTATATATTTGTTTATGAATCACAATAATCAAATCATCATTCTGCAAAATCCAAATAGTATCCACTGTATACATTTTATTTTATGGTGATGAAATTGACCATCGACCAAATGAGAATCATTGAATCCTTTGAACCTGAATCAAATCATAGTCATAAATCACCTCACAATTAGTCAGCCACTCGACCCGCTCCTGTCAAGTGGCTAGCAATGGTGCTGCATTTGGACCTCTGGCCGTCAGAAGGGTCAGAGAGCAGTCATGATTGCACCCGAAGTAACGAAACATCGTCCTGTCACAGAGCATTGACACTATCTGTTGAGAAAGAGGACAGTTGGGTTGAATCAACACCATCCCCTGTTCTGTTGATTGATTGCTTAGGTCTTTTCAAAAAACACAAGTTTTGATTTTAAAGAAACCCTGCCGTTGGTTCGATAATACCAAGTATAACCCAGAAATTGCCCCTGCAGGATGAATCTTGGGGACGTCTTGGGCTGGCTTCAAATTCTATTGCAGTTGGCTGGAGCTTGACCAAAAAGATTGTGCCTCAACTTCAGGACTGTGATGGATGATAATCAAACTCAGACCAAAATCAAAAAATAACGTTCATTGTTACACTACATTATAATACCCCAATGATTTAAAGAATTTCCCACTTATTGTTCTCACCAATAAAATTAGTTTTGTTGAGATGGTAACCCAGCCCATTCTAGGACTCTTGGCTGTACAATGCCAAGACAGCCTTCTCGATGTGCAGTGGTGCTGGGACAGCAGAGTCTTCAAGGGCGGTGTTGCAGAACATAGTCCAAAAGTTTCCTTTGCCAGGCGTTGAGAAAACAATGGACATACAGACTGTGGCACTATGGGATTCTTGGGTCAATATTAAAAATAATAATAAAAGCGTCGGACCTCTAATAAATATTAATAGGAATGGAATTTAGTTAAATCTTATGATTTTGATCCCACTGCAATCCCAGAGTTTGCACATTTGTTCAACCCAACCATTACTTCATTAAGGAGAATGCATCGGCATGCAACCAGCTTCTGTTTGACAACCACCGATGGTGCATGGAGACCGTGGACAAGGACCACGACATGCCTCATTTCTTCAATGACATACTGTCATTGAACTGCGCAGGGACATTCCGTGACAAAGACTCCTACCAAACAAAGAGACGGAAGATCTGTAGGTCAGTGCTTCTTCCAACACAGTTGTGCAACACCCATTCTCACACTGATTCAGAGTCAGATTGGTGCACGGTTCCTTCACCTGATTATGGCTGTTCTGGTCTACCATGCACTGATATGAGTCGTGCTGGACGCCAATTGAAAAAATATGGCCCGACGAACAGTGTCTACATGACTCACGGAAAGTATGTCGAGACCAAGGAGGTCCCAATCTTTACAGTAGAATGTACACCTGAATCTCGACTTAGCAACAATAACAATAATTGTATTATTTATTAGTTAGAGAGCATAGTCATAATTCTTTTGTTTCTTACTTATTTGACCGTACACTTACGCCCTAGTTGCTACTACTCAGGATTTCACACTACCCGAACTTCAATACCTAGACTTCATTATCCCTTGACTATTTGACTCGACATTGACTGACCTGCTAAGGAGTTGGACATGGACATGATGGAAGAAACTCATCCATCATATGATTTCTATCGCGTCGACTTCTCCACTGCGGATACTGGTCATGCTGGTGTGGCACGGGACAGGGTATATGTGCTTGCTTCCCACAAAGATCGCTCATCATGCAAGTACGACCCCATGTCACTGAAAGCTATGATAGCGGACAGAATGAGGGAGAAAGTTCAAACAAGACCCTCTGACTACTTCATGGCACAGGTGGTTGAGGTTCAGCAAGAGGCACTCCAGTTGGCCATTCGCAGGAAAGTTGAATACAGACCTAACTGCCGTGACTTGTCCTACTTGTTGACAGAACGTGAGCAGGCCGCCCTGCTTGCTTATGAGAATGCTTACAGGGCTGAGTTTTCTGTGGAACCATCACAAGACCCTGACTTAGTTGTGTTTTTGGGAGATGATGGTGTGAAGTGGCGCACATGGAGTGCCAAGAGTCACCAAATACCAACCTTTAGGAGAAATGCGAAAACGGGACTATTCTGGTCACCCTTTCTGAAGAGGTACCTAGTCTCAAGAGAGAAACTTGCAGCTCTAGGCTGGCCTGTGTCAGAGCACATGGCAGGCCCAATGAGGTGTAAGCCAATACCGACACAGGACGTAATTCGTGCAGCTGATCTTGCCGGAAACGGGATGCACTTCCCATGCGTAGCCATAGCACAGATGTTGGCTCTGTGTTGCTTTGGCCCCCAGGAGTACTAAAGCATTCACCACTGGGAGTTCGTTCAAACGATTCTTTTGAGACGTATTCAGACGTCGACTGACTGGAGGCTTGTTAGACTCATGAAAAAACAAATTGTTTTATGTAGTCCTGCTATGAGGTTTAAAGACACCAAAGAATCTAGTAACCAGCTAGCCCCAAGAATAAAAAAATGTGTTGCTTGATGCAGCTTTGACTTAGCAAGTCTCCAAATTGTAGCCAAAACCATCTTTGATATTTGCAAATGACACTCAGTCAATGATGCCGTAGTAGACTCTTTTTCAGACGGCTTCAAACCCTTGGAGAAAAATCTATAGTTTTCATGGCGCTTTGGATTCAATTTGAATCAACTGGGTCAATCTGATGAGTAGTTGTGTTTCTGGGACAAGCAGGTTTTATTATTGGGTAGCAGGCAGCTGCAGTTAGCTTGTTTGTGTGTTCCAGCCTGCAAGCTTTGGGATTAGATCAAATTAATTCAGACTGGTTTGGTGTCCACCCCCCGCCGGGCTGGCCCCATTTCAGCCATGCCGTCCTCACTGCCATTCAAGTGGGAGGCGGATGAAGAGGAAGATGTTTCCAGTGAGAATTCTGAGGCATCTGCTGATTCTGAGCAGGACTCTGACGAAGATGAAGAGGAGGATGACGTAGAAGATTCAGAAGAAGAAGAAGAAAGGAAGAAGCCTAAAGCGAAAGCGAAGGGCAAGGCAAAGGCGAAGTCCAAGGGCGGGGCTAAGAAGACAAAGGCATCAGGTAGCAAGACAAAGTCTAAGAAGGTAAGCAAGAAAAAGTCGAAGCCATCCACGACCTCTAAGAAGGGTGATGAACAATTCTTTCGCTATTCGTCATGGCGTGCTGTTCCAGACTCTTAGTCTTTGCATCATACATCAAGTGTGACTTTTCTTCTCAATTCCTGGATGGTAACAAATGATAACAAACAAGACATGAAGGTTAAGATACGTTAGGTATTTTTGCATCCAAAATTCTTAGACAGACCAACTATAACAGTAGAAATAAGGTATTATTTTAGTTGTGATACATTTCAAACTCTATACTCGCTTCAACCAATGACGCCTAAGGAAAGCCACCTGCGCAGTTTCATTCTGCATGTGGAGCCCAAGCGTGCTATGGCAGTGAATGAGCTCTCAGGTCGGGAGCTTCGACGGGTCTTCTATGGGTATTTTCGACAGCCCCCCGGGAAGAAACCTGAACGGACACTTGCCAGGTCTTGCAATATTGTTTGGTTTCATTTGCTGAAGTTTAATTGTAGTTCCAAACAAAATCAAACGAACAACCACTTACTGAGGATTAAATTAGTCGTAGTGATTTCTGAATCATTCTTTCCTTACTTCAAACTTCCACTATAATTATATTGACAGATACCAGCACTGCCCACTCACTATACTGCTGTCACTCAACCGACCAGGGTCCCAATCTCCCCACTCTCCAGCTGCAGTTTTTTATCCCTTTAAATACTAAGGAAGAAGAAGGGCCAAATCAAGATTGACTTGGCAAACCAGTATGAGCTTCTTGGCAAGCCTGGTCACAACAAGACATTGCAAGATGTTATCTCCATGGTTGAAGATGAATTTTCCAAGAACTTGGATTTTTCTCTGGAACATGTTGGAAAGGTGATTTGGATTGTTTGTGGCAAGCAGCGGGTTGCACTACCCGAGAATATCAAATGGAAGGGTGAGATCTTCAAGGAGCCATCAACGGGAATTCCGTTTGTGAGCGACGGAAAGGTGTCGAAGCGTTGTGTGGATTTTTTCCGTGATGATGAATCAGGGGAAAAGAAGGTAAAGTCTCACACTGAAGCGGCAAAGGGGAAGAATGAGAAGTTTCAGGTACTCCCAGTCCCTTTGCCGGGCAAGTCTCAGACAGGCCGGTCATTGGAAAACAAAAGATTGAAGTTTGAGATGAGACACGTGAGGAACACTTTTACACGTTTTGAAAGACTTCAAATTCAAAATACGTGTCCATGAAGCCAGCAATGATGAAGTTAATGTCCTTTAGAAATGAACATATTTTCTCAGTATCACTGACACGACTCATGACTCTGAACTGTTGATTGAAGATTTCCTGAAAAGTATTTCCTACTATCAAATTACTATCCAATCCACATTGTATCAATTAGTCATGGATTCAAGCCGCTCAGATTCACTGACTCACTGACTGCCACAGGCAGCAATGCCCCCAGTGAAAGCAGCAAAGATGACAAGGACAAGGACAAGGACCTGGACCAGAACAGTGCTGCTGAGAATGAGAATCAGAAGCCAGTATGCTATTGCAACTGGCATCGTTCTGCATGTCCAGACTGCAACAAGGGATGGATGGAAGAAATTCAAGCTGGACGAGCACCCAAAGTGGGTCATTCATCCAAATTTAGTTAGTTTTTTCCAATTAAATTATTGTGTGCTTATTTACAACACATCCCTGATACAATAACTCCCAGCACTGTATTTCCCTATTATTATTACTACCAACCCAGGCCTTAGCACTAAATCTAAACTAAGGTGATGGAACTGGTCCGAGTGCCCCATCGTCCTCTGATTCTGATGGGGGTCCCGCTTTGCCTGACTCTGACGAAGAGCCAGACTATGACCTAGAGAAGGACTGCATTTAAACTGGCACTAACAGTTTAACAGATTTAGATATATTATCATTATGGCTTGCAATAGTTTTCATAATTATGAGATTTGACAGACGAATGCAGCGGACCAATGATAATGACTGAGAAATACTTTAAAGTTTTTCATTCATATATTATGTTTTTTATTTCTGTATTATTTACTTGCTGGTCCACTCCCCGTGACAATAATATAATAATCCGACATGTCACTGATGTTTTTTTTTCAGGACGCACTGGACGGCTACTCCATGCACCAATTACGTGATGGCCGAACTTTGGTTCTCAACCACAATGAGAAGGACGTGATTCAAATGCACGACTTGGGATCCAAATGCTCTGACTGGAAGTTGACCAAGAACAATACAGCAGGAAAACACTTAGGTGAGCTCTTCATTCATAGCCTTTCACAGTCTGCGAAGTCAATGTGGGTTCCAAAGCTGAAATTTTCCAACATGGATGAAGCCGATGTCAGACTTCTCAAGGCTGAGCTGATGGGAGTGGAGAGTGTTGATCCAAAGCCGAAGGTTGAGGAAAAGAAAAGCCAGGAAGCTAAGCATGAAGAGCAGAAAAAACTCGAGATTGAGACAGAGGCAAAGAGAAAAAAGTCAGAGGAAGAACAGGCAAAAAAAGAGGCTGATGAGTTGGAAAGGAAAAAGCAGGAAGCAAAGAAAAAGTCAGAGGCAGAGGCATCGGGCAGTCCTGCAAACACCGAGACAACTGCCGATGCTGTGAGAAAACGGATTGAGGCAGAATTGCGAGAGAAAATTGAGAAAGAACTTCTTGAGAGACAGAAGTTACAAGGAGCAAAGGCTCGAGACCAAGGAGAAGAGGATCTCAATCAGGGAGCTGCTAAGATGGAAGAGGATGAGAAGGGCAAGAAAGCAGAAGAAGAAAAGGTGAAGAAAGCAGAAGAAGAAGAGAAGGCGAAGAAAGCAGAAGAAGAGAAGGCGAAGAAAGCAGAAGACGAGAAGGCGAAGATGGCAGAAGAAACCCAGAAACAGAAGAAGGCAGAGGCAGATGAGAAGGCAAGACTTCAGAAGGAAGCTGATGAATCGAGGAAAGCAAAGGCTGCCAGAATTGAGGATGATGCAGAAGAAGTGAGCAGCAAAGAAGGAGATATTGTGGAAGTTTCAACGTCTGACATCGTGAAGGCAAACAAGGAAAAAGCCTTGAAGAGAAAGGACGAGCTTCAAGCACAAGAAAGGAATGCCAAGAAAGTGAAGATGCCGAGCTGAGGACGGATAGGGCTGATAGGGGTGAGCTGGCAGGTTGAAGACACCGGGACATAGGAACGACACTTATATATATATATATACATATATGTAATGTTTGTATTCTCTGATCTGCAGTCTATCTGCCACTGATGATTCAAGATTCAAGATCTATATACATTCCTGTAACAACCATGATTTGGGATTCAAGCTGCCATTGTTTTACATAACCAAAACGCATCAGAACATTTTCCAACATTTCTTCATCATTTGCCACCATTTCCCACCATTTGCCACCATTTTGCTCACGATTTGCTATTATTTTATCATTATTTGCCATTATTTGCCACCATTTGCCACCATTTGCCACCATTTGCTCACCATTTGCCCACCATTTGCTACTATTTTACCACCATTTGCCACCATTTGCCACCATTTGCCACCATTTGCTCACCATTTGCCCACCATTTGCTACTATTTTACCACCATTTGCCACCATTTGCCACCATTTGCCACCATTTGCCACCATTTTCCTACTATTTTCCTACTATTTTACCACCATTTGCCACCATTTGCCACCATTTGCCACCATTTGCCCACCATTTGCCCACCATTTGCCCACCATTTGCCACCATTTGCCACCATTTGCCACCATTTGCCCACCATTTGCCCACCATTTGCCCACCATTTCCCACCATTTGCCACCATTTGCCACCATTTGCCACCATTTGCCAACCATTTGCTCACCATTTGCCCACCATTTGCCCACCATTTGCCACTATTTGCCACCATTTGCCACCATTTGACACCATCTGCCCACCATTTTCCTACCATTTGCCCACCATTTGCCCACCACCTGCCCACCATTTGCCGACAATTTAACCACTATTTGCATCCCAGCATTTACTCAACATTTGCACACCAGTGTCCACCAACAATTTACCAGTATGTTTATCTATTTGCAACGTTTCTGCTAACTTAACCATGCCACTGTTCAAGAGGGCATACAGCCTTTTTCAAGATGGCAGATTATTTTTTTAGATTTACTGGCTTTCATTTCCCCTAATTATTGCCTGCAAATCTGGAGGTGCTGGTTACATTTCATTGGGCCCCCGGTTCACTCAAATATTGATTTATTTGATTTTACGAACAAACCACTCAAAACCAAAGATATTCCAAATTTGCATACAATTGGTTCATTGGGCATGACTGAATGACAATGACAAGGTTGACAAACAAATAAAATGACTACTGACAACCCGGACAGCCATTTGGTTCGAGACAATAGGAAAAGCCAAGTTACAGATCTGATCTAGTCGTGTTCAATTCCATGGGTGACCATCCGTCCAACTTCGTGAATTACGACATGCCGGACAGCTGGTATCCTAAGAACATGGTGCCTGTAAACCCCCATTGTTTCCACAGCCCGGACAGAGCCCGGACACCGTCACCGAGCACATTCTTCTCAGGGAACTATCCGAATGCAGGTATCTACCAGAAGATCTACAAAGGCTTGAAGATGGGGGAAAACCCTTGGGTGAAAACTGAGACGACAGTCCCTCCAATGACTGATGATGGGATTACAGTCATTGAGGGCAGTCCAGTCAACCAGACATCGACTATGGGAACCGTGGCCAAGGATGATGGGAATGAATCGAATGTGATTACCATCAATGACAGCCCTCCCGTCGCGACTACTATCACTCAGAATGACAGTGACGCTGGTGATTTCGTGGTGAAGGGGGATGATGGGAATGATGATTCGAAATTCAAAACACCGGACAGGAAACCAAGCATCCCATTCAATAGCCCCAAAGGTGAAGATCTTGATCATTCAATCAATACAACTATGGCTACCAAAGGCGACAAAAGCAGTGATGGAGCGAAGACTAATAATTCATCAATGTCCTTGGCCTACAGCTCAAACACGAGCTGCAGTACCGGTTCAGAGGGTTTGCCATTGGGCCAAAGTGGTGTCAAGAAGGCAAGTCAAGATGATGATCTTTTGACCCCTGAAAAGTCCATTGATTGGAAAAAGGCTGTTGATTTTTCTGTTCCTACTGGTCATCAGAATCAGTATGGCAGTCAGCGTACCAAGATGACTAAAAATAAGTCACGCTCCCATCCATTTTTCAAATGACTACCAGTGATTTGTCAGTTAATCTGACTTCAATTGGTGCTGCATCATGCATGGTGCATGCACTCGAGACTCCGGAGACAGAGACAGAGACGCAGCATGGACATCAAAATAGTTGTTGGCCACTCTGTCAAGGGTTCTCAGTTCAGGTTGAATCAACCAATTGACTCCACTTTCAGGTACTTTACTACTTGTTAATTTCAGCACTTTCCCACGTTTAAAGCAGTGTGAGTCATGTCATGATTCAAAAAAAATAAGTCAATGAATTATATAATTAAATTAGTTATCCCCGTTATTAATTTTTCCCACACTGGGTTTCATTTTGTGATACGACATGTCCATCCAAGACTCCTCCAGGACCGCAAGGAAGCAGAAGAAGAACCTACTATTCCTGAGCCACAGGCGACAGGCACAGCCAGCAGTCCGAAGTAGGCTGCGGCTATTACCATGGATGAGAGAGCTGGTCGAGTGTGTGTGCCACTTGCACTATTTTTATGATTTAAGCAGCTGCATACTTACTACATACTAGTCTATTCAGATACACTATTTCAAATTTCCTTCCTGAAAATTCTATATTATACTATGCATAATGATGAACAAAATCTGAATTGACCAGGCTCCTATGAACCGATGCAACATTGGCGATGTTGATTCGGCAATTCATGTCTTCGATGCTGCATGTTTACATTACACAGCAGCAGCCGCTAGCACAGTCCGGAAGATAGCTACTTCTGGGAAGTGGACCCTGGCCTGATGAGTTACCTACCATGCCACTTATTTATCTTCCCATTGATCACTGCCACTGCCAGGTAATTCATTTTCCATACACAGAAAGTGGTATTAATCAGTCACGCCGTTGCTTTTTATTTGAAGCTTGATTGAGTTTGGTCGGTCAATGTAGTGACTGACGGCCAAGAGGACCACTTGAATTGAGTCTTTTGCTGCCACCATTTCTCTGATGTTGCGGAGAAAACAAACAGTTCTGATTATGGCCGACCACCCCTGGATTTAATTGTGGCTTTTTCAGCATTCCGTGCAATTTGAATCACTTCACGATTTAAAGTTTATAAATTAAATTGTTGTGATTCTATTTACTAAAAGTATCTTGACAATAAGTATTCACTGTCCATTAAGTTTAAAAGAAGAAACAGTGTTTCATCATTGTTTGACATATTATCATTCAAATCACACCTTGGACACATGATATTCCAAACTAATCAGCCACCGTCCAGTCCCACTGTTGACACATCTGAGGCGCTGCCAAATTGGGCTTGTGAAGCTGAACGTCTGACTAAGCAGCATCTTGGGCTGGATCACCTGCCTTGGAATCAATGCAGTCATTGGATCTTGTGAAATCGGAATCTAATGACTGATGACACCCGTCGCACTTGCGAAGTCTTGGTTCACATGTCATGAGCTAAGATGATCTGATGAATTTTCTCATGAATGAACCAAGCAATCAATTCTGCAATAATTATAAATATCAATCAATAGTTGTTATCAATCAATGAATGGCAAATAAATAATTTAATAATAATATTGGAAGTGGTTCCCTTTCCTGGAAATACTGAATCAAATTGAATGCCCTGAGGAACGTGTGCGGTGATGGATCAGAACTGCAACCGGCATCAGAGCTATCTCAGAACAGCAAGAAGACCATCTTTGGAATGATTGACCCTTGGCATGACGAGTAATTACTAACGCAATTTAAAAAATAGATCTTGCAACAGTTGCGTATACTATACAGTAAATAATATGCATCTCAGCAGTCATACAATACAAGACAGCCACCAACTAATAATTTCCAGAATAAATAAATGCCTCAGTATCAGACCAAGAATTTAATTTAATGCCAAGCTGCCGCATCCATTTGACTTGATGTGTGAACTTCTTGCCCCAGATGATATCATTGGAACCATCACTGACACCGCATCCTGTCCTAGGCCGTTGTGAAGGGCTTGCAGAAGAGTATGCAACGGGTATTTGGAAACGGCTTGGAGATCTTCGTGCCACGGAGAGTGTTGAAACCTCATGATCTGATAAACGGTGCTGTGTTAGACGCACCAAGTGTGTCAGAAAGGCCTATATTGACAGCTGCCTCTTGGTGATGTTTGGCAATAATATTGGGAAGTTTCACAATTAGTTATTAGATGTATTATTTAACTGCCTTGTTGTATATTCTTAGTAGATGACCCTGGGAAATTAATTATGTTAGTAATAATAAGAAAGGGAGAAATAAATTTATTGTGCCCACAAACATTATTACTAATTGAAGGGCAACAATTTTCCTGTGACTATTTATTACACTGCAGTGTTGATTCGAATCACTGTCATTGCCGTAATATTGTATTCAAGATGTAAAACAGACATTGATTCTTGGCACAAAAAAAATTATTCATCTATGGAAAATGAAACAATTGTCTTACTTTATGAGATTTGTTTTTCATTGACAGCTATCATAATCAATCAACTGAGTCACCTGATGAAGAAGCTCTTCCCTTCAAAGCTCTTTGGCAACTGATGTATGGGTCCAATCTACGTATCCACGTGGAACCAGAATCACTTCATAGCATGTGGAATGACCTACGCAACGCATACAAGAGATCAGACCTTCAACCAGCGCTGCTCCTTGGAATCGTCATGACCCAAATGGCTCATGGACCTTTTTTGAGTGGAGCCCACCAAACTACACGACAGGAGACTGCACAGCTACTTTCAGAGGAACTGTCAAATGCTGACTTTCAAGCACTCCAGGATGCCATGTTGAGGGATCGCTACTATGACTCTGCAGAAATCCCTGAAACCCCAAATGACATTCCCGAACTTCGAAGCGTTCGATCATTGCCTATTTTCGTTCCGTGGCAATGAAAAAAACACAAAGGAAACATGTTTTCTGTGTTTTCTCAAATGGTTTAAATAGGAAGTTTCCACACATAGACACTGTAGTAACAGACCAAAGGCTTGGGAGAAGTGTGTTTGTGTGTATATGGTGTGTGTGTGTGCAGTTGTGTCCCCACAAGCATGAACTTGTGAATAATAATAATCATAGGCAGTTTTCTTGATTAATGACAATGACATTGCCTTTGTTCTTCAACAAATGTTTGTTCACCTATGCATCCTTAATAGCCTGTTCTTTCCACATTAATCCTTATACTTACACTAAACCAATTATCAACATGTCATGGGTGGGACCAGACCAAGCACCATTCAACTATATAAATTTCCAACCCTCAGGCGAAGAACAAGAGCTGGTTCCAAGCAGTGGTTGCGCTTTACAAGTTGGCCCTTGATTGGAGCTTGAACAGCATGATTCTGGGGAGGGCCGTGGAATTGAGTAAAGGTGCTAGCCTTTATAATGACCGCCGCATGGATCAGGAAGCTTTTTCAGGTATTAGTTACATTGTCCTTATTTTTTTGGTTTCAGGAAATCAAGCATATAACCAAACCTATTTTTTCTAGCCCGGCTCTTACTAATGATATGAACTGACTTCATTCACTGTTTGATTCAATTAGGGTCGTCTTGGTTAACAATAACAATTCCGTTCCAGCTAATTATTCATTCATACCCTATGGCCATATATATATATACATATGATTATATTAACTAATATGTACAAACAACCTCATTATTAATAGTTCCTCGGCCCATCACTCAATCAATCAGATAATTATCAACTACCAATCAATCTATATGTGAGAAAATCATATGGGATTAAATTATTGTTATTAAATTAAGATAAATATGTCCGATCCCCCACTTCAAAGTCTAAGTAACAGCATACTGTAGCTGAGGACGGTGATGCTGATGACCAGGAAGGTCAGGGCCAGGGTGACAACCCAGATCAGCACACACGTCCTCAGACGCGCAAGGAGTTGGATGAGATCAAGAGCAACTTCTCGAACAAACTTCTGATGGCTTACCATTACCATCAAGACCCAATGTTGCCTTTGGAATTCAAAGCCATGTTCTGGGCTGGGCGTCCCATTTTGAAGGAGTATGAGAACACTTTGGAGACCCATAAAATGGGGCAGGACATTTTGGTGCAAACAAAAAATACGGTTTTTAAAGTGTGGGGTTACCGGTTCCTTCAATATATATGTGTTTGTATGATTTGAAAAACAGTCAATAATTTATAATAATGACCAATCAATGATGGGTGATTTTTATCAGTCAACAATTATACCATTCTTTTCATTATTCAAGGGGTTCAGTTTCCGGGCACTCACTGACTTACATAAACTAATAATTATCAAGTATTGATTCCAAAATGGATTACCTTAGCTGAACAAAATTACCTTGATTCATTGTCCCTTCAGGAACCAACACTCAGATGGAGAGCACAACGTGCAAGAGGGCAAACTTGGTATCCTACCGTTGTTGAAATACTGCTGTCAATCAACAAGTTAGAGACCTTGAAACGTTTGCACATTTCAACTCAATCTGTGAGAGCCAGTGATGAAAACTCTGTGAATGATGAAATGGAAATCTTGAACAAGTACGCCAACCTAGCAATTGAGATTTGTGCTGCAAGATCATGGTCACAGTGCCAGTTTACCATTTGTGTTCCTTATGTCTTCGCCATAGTGCACCACAGTGAGACAGCTGAACGTGAAAAGGGAATTAAGTTCGTCAAGAAGCTGTGGGATGCCGTGCTCCATGCTGAGAGAGTCATGGCGGATCCAGCCACTGATGGGGCCGTCAAAGACTCCTTGGACGAAATTATGAAACACATGGCATGGCACAAAAGCCAGATCGCTTGTGAGATCTACCTGGTGTGTGGCTCTGGGGAGTGGCAACATACGGATCCCGAAACACGAGAACTGGCATTTACCCTTTTCGGCACTCCGGCAAATACGAAACATTTCCTAGAAGACTGTTTTGCACACCTTGCTGACCTAGTGAAACGGGTTGCACGCCATCTAAAGATGTCAAAGAGCCTCGCTACCAAATCAATTTAACATGTTTTCTCAATACTGTTTTTTTATTGGGGGGACATTCCAATTGCCCAACAACTTTAACTATGGTCCACAAATATTACCTCCGTGTTACAAAAAATATTCTTGATTCCTGAGACTGACGGCCGGCTTGTCTTGCCGAGGTGGACCAAGTTCTTCTACATGAACGCTGTTCCAACCCATCGTGAATTGAACTGGCCTCGGTTAGATCCCACGCCAGATGACTTTAGTCGATCAATGAAAAAACAGGGTCGGACAGTTCTTGCTGATGACACCAAGCATGGCAAGGTGTTTGATGTTTCTGCCACGTTCAAGCTTCCCAGAGAGCTGCAGTTCACTCCAAACAATTTGCTGCAGTCAGATCGTAGTGCAGGGACTGCGGCGAACCACCGGGCAGCAGCAGCGACAGCTTGGATTTTGTCCAATTCAAGTTCCAACTTTGTGAATGCTCCAACTGCTTGGACAGGCACTGTGATTTGGGAGAGAACAATCAACCCCTTGAAGCTGAATAATTATTTATTTATTATAACGGAATGTTATTGTTTGGGAAATATTCAATAATTCATTTTTTCTTTGAAATTACACTCAGACTCACAGACTTGGTGAGCAAATGAGGAGTATTTCTTCTGAAACGTCACATCTACCAGAACAGTGCTGGCAAGGCAGTGATCTGTTTGGGGTTCAAGAACTACGCTGCATTGGGGCTTGGTTTGGATCGGGTCACCGTTGATGGTAAGGACCTCTTTTGTTGAAGTGTTTTGAAAAATCCACCTGAAATTCGTCCAGCACTTATATAACACTCACTGATTTAAAACCTTTGAACGGTTTGTTCAATCATCATATCACTCTGGTAGAATCTAACGGGGCAGACATATATAACAATGTTACAACAAACCTGTCTCTGTCAGAAATATTTTTCCACCATCTCTTGATTAAGAGCCACCTGACGAACATACTTGAAAATCTTCTCACCCTCCGCCGCAAAACCCTTTTTGACAATTACCTGACATAAAATCTGAGTCAAGGGTCCGAGTCTCTCCACATTTTTGATCACCAGCAGGATTTCCTGGTGGCGACAGAGGAATCTACCAAGCTTGGAATCAAATGGATGATGAACAATGACATCACCGGTGCAAAATGGATGATGCTTCCAACAAAACTGGTCCTTCCATATGAGCTCCCCAAATCATTACTCTCTTACGGAAGTGTTTGGCTGGTGGTTGGGGAACCACTGCAGCCATTGAAGTCAGCAGTCAAAGAGGGTGTCAATTTGACCATGAAATATTTGGGAATGATCCGAGAACAAATGGTGTTCCCATTGCCGGAAAAGGGAAAAGGTTCTGGCAAGGGTGGTAATATCATCAAGATTGATTGGGCTACCAGTCTTGTGAATCACCTCTGGCCAAATGAGACGGAAGAGGAAAAGACACGGATGATCAACGCAATCTGTGGCAATAGTGTGTCAAAGGTGAAATGCCCCAGCAAAATCATCGCAGCAGTGAAGGAATTGGGCCAGGAGGGTGAGAGGGATTTCAATTACCTCCATCAGGTAGCTCTTAATCAAGAGATGGTGGAGAAGGAGAGAAAACGTCGGGATCCTACTGCTGACCGTGAGGATCAAAAGACATACACCCCTACCACACTGAAGAGCTTGCTTCCAAAAGATGTACCTGGTGTTCTTTGCAGCAGAAACCCTCTCCTTAGCCGCTACCAGGGTTTTTATCCTGGAATCATGGACTCAAAGTTGTCTTATTTTCAAAAAACAAAGTGACCGCTCAAAAGTTATTGTTTCTGTTTTGTTTCTAGACTGCCCCCAAACTTTTTTGGGGAATCCAACCCTCCGCATCACTCAGTGCTGCTGAATGTCCTCCGAGGAAAAGTTGATGGATTCTTGGATAGCCGTGCAGTGACGTGGGGCGGTCCTATGAAGGCATTGACAGAGTTTGATGCGTTGAAAGGATGCGTAATTGGTTTCATTTGGGCCAAACACATTGCTTTACACCCTGATGATGCTGCAAAACAGTTCCTGGGTCCTGCAAACAGATCATTTTTGTTCAAACCCATGGTTTAACTTGATTTGAAACCGGCAATCTAATAAGTGGCTCTGATTTTGGTAACTAGCATTGTTGGTTTTAACAATCCATAATCCAAATTAATAATTTAATATAATAATAGTGAAAACATAATCATCTTATTAGAAACGCACCCACCATACCCCCTGAGATGACAACCATAATTATGGTCCTCACAAAGTGACTAAATAAATAATAAGTAATGAAAAGCAACATATTATATTAGATAATGGTGTTCCTTTTTTTTCAGTTGTACTATTTCAGCAATTGGGTATTTAGACTGGGAGTTTGTTAATCAGGATTACCTTTGATTTCTCAGAATAGTTTTTTGTAATACATAACATGTCAATGACAACAATAATAAAACTGAATTTAACCTTACTTACCTGGTTACCTGGAATCAGTACCTGTGACCACTCACGTCAACAGCAATTACACTGGAATCAAATTGACAATGTTATATTCCCGGCCCCTCAGCTGACTCACTGAGGCCTACTGATGAAACCCTGCGAAAAGTGATTGACTCATTTGATGCCTCTACGGGGCTTTTGGACCCAGGTTCAGGAGGGGCCTCGTCCTCGTCATCAAAGGCAAAGGCTCAGCCGCCAGCCGCCAAAGCAGCAGCAGGCCGTGGCAAAGCCATGGCCGATGCCGCAGTCCCCAAGATGGGGCGTTCAAGGGGCCGGGGAAGGGGAGGTTGATAGGTTCAAGTCATAGATTCTAAATAAAAATTCCAGCACATCAGAATCTTTGTGTGTGTAAATAGCATCCCATTTAAACTAACAAACATTGTGTGCTGCCTTGGTCCCAAACATGGAATGAATGACTTCAGTCACAAAGTGACTGCAGAGTACATGTAAGATGTCGGTCCAACATGGACGGAAAACTGGCTTGAGCTGTGACCTTCCAAGAATTTACCCTTGATAAATGATTTAACTACTGGATGTCAATACCCCAATTGATGATAAATGATTTAACTACGGGATGTCAATATATGTCATTGATTGGAGTGCATTGGATTTGGGGAAATTATCTTTCAGAATTTCAGTTATTTAGACGAGAAACAAATGAGAATCTGTCTGTCAACACAGATATCGTAGTTATTGTTGTAAGCTATGGATGAAAACCACCAGGGCTGAATCCAACGACACCATCTCGATTGTTCATGGGTGATAAAGATATGTTCTTGCCACCAGTGTTTGAATTCATTTTCACAACATTTGATCCCAATAAGTTCAATAATTTCATTGTTGATCCCATTTTACTCCAATTAATTGTTTGATCTGAGCTGCAGTGTGAGTGAGCTAAGATGACATCAGAGACCCTCAAACACCACTAAATAGCCATATCTATGACTAAGCATCATCTACAGTGCAGTAAAAACAATTTTCCACCATTTGCCACTATTTGTCTACGATTTGCCTTAGATTTGCCATCATTTGACCTAGATTTACCTTCATTTGCCTAAGTCATCATTTGCCATGATTTACCACCATTTGCCACTATTTAACCCTCATTTTACCTGTGGCTCGTTTACCTGCGGCTCTTAATCAATATATGATGCACATTTTCCCCAATAACAATCGCGCTGATAAAAAATCCACAACACCAACACCTATCCAGCCAAGATTGTCCTCAATTAGATCAACAGTACAACATAGTCGAGGCCTGGCAGTAGTTTCAAGGATCGCAGCCATCTACGAGCCTGGAAGTATGCACAGTAACCTTTGAATACATGTATATATAATATAATGGCAAGTGGGGATTAATAACCCCCCCACAAGGTAGGTACCTAGGGAGAAGGTTTTGCTAAGTTTCAACCTCTAAATAATGGACCTCCTAAGTTGAAGTCATAAGAGATCAACTTCGAATTGATATAAATCTACTTTCACTTGATTTTCCTTTAAAACCTCGAAGAAATCTAAAACATAGTAAGGATTTCAATTGATATCAACCTACTTTCAATTGATTTTCCTTTTGCACATCGAAAACACCTAAAGATTAGTAAGAATTTCGCTTGATATCAAGCTGCTTTCAATTGGGCGAAGGGGTTTGATTAATTAGGGGAAACCCTGCCTATTATTTGGGTGGGACATGGGCTCATGAGGCTTTCGGATGCTTTCGGAGCATCTCAAAGTGATGGGTTTTTGATGGATTGTTTTTTTGCCGTGTGGGAAATCGTTTTTAAAATCTATATAGCCAAGAACTTGGTTTGAACCAAGGCTGCCCGTGATTGCAAAGTCACAAGTCTGTGACTGCTGCAAAGTCGCAAGTCCGTGACTGCAAAGTCACAAGCCCGTGACTGCAAAATCAAAAAAATGTTGGTGCCAATGCAACAAAGTAATTAATTGCTCAGCTTGTATAATTGTAGTGTGCTGAGCCAACAGAGCCTTATGGGGGAATCTCTGTCAGAGGTTTGTCAGAGTCAAATCTCTGTGTGAAACTTGAAAGGAGTGCCCCCCCCCTTGATTTATCAGGGGGGGCCAACCCATTTTAGTTTTGCCAAAACATTTTTCCTGTGTGAGGGTTGATTACTTCCTAGTGAATTACTAATCCCAACGTGACATTATGTGTGTGTGTCATTGTATGTGCGATATATGTCACTACATGTGTATTCCAACTATGAACCAGGCATCTACAAGCGCAAAAACGTTAAAACATAATGCAAAACAATCTGGCAGACTGGAAAAAACATGAACACAAGAAGAACTGTTTCCACTAAGGTTTCCAATGGTTTCCAGCTCCAATGGCTTCTGGTCTGAACATTTCGTCTAGGCTCCTGAATGTTCCTGACAAAACCTATGAATAATCTGGATGGACCTTAGGTGAAGCAAAATAGTCTACTATACAATATAACTTCCGGGTTGTCCATTGATATACATTATATCATATATATGGTCTCGTGTTCCGTGTTCCTACCCCCCCAAATGGTATGGGTCCCCGGGTAGCACCCCCTTCCCTTCTATTTGCGAGCTAATGGCAGCATTTCTGAGGTCCAGCCTCGTATTTGCTAGGTCTTTGCAGCATTTCTGACTACCAGCCTCGCATTTACTAGGTACATGCTACCTTTTAGACGACCTACGTAGCACAAATAGTCAAGTACCTACGTGCTACCTACGTGCTACCTATAGTCATATATATATATATATATATATATATGCTATATCTACTTCCTATTTACGACATATATATATATATACACATAATATATATATATACATAATATATATATACACGTATTTATATATATATATACACATACATAGATACACATATGTATGTGTATATATATATATATATAAATACAATGTGTGTGTGTGTATATATATATATGCTCCAGCGTTCCAACCCCCCCCAACGGTATCACACCCCCACCACACCACAGGCACAGGGGGGGAGGCGGACACCATCACCACATTACAGGGGGGAGGGGGACAGTACTATGGCTTACCCATGACCATGTCCCGGGGGGGGTTGGAATGCTGGACCATATGTAATGTATATATATATATATATGTATACATATATATATATATATATATATCTATCTTGAACCCATTGAACCCTCAGTTCCCAATCGCAATGCAAACAAAACCAGAACAATTGGGCCTCCAAGGTTTCCGGCTCGTCGAAGTCGGAGGTCTGCAAGCGGTACACATCCTGCACGTGTTTCGGAAGAAGAAAACAGGAAAATCATGGGACTCATGGGGATTTAGAGGGATATAACTGGTACATATAATAGGATAACATGGGATATACTAACCAACAATCATGTGGATTTACCATCCGGTAATTAAACAAACACAGTCCACTCGCACGAAATCTCATCACATCCATGTCCAAGGTGTATTTCTCAACACTTAGGCAAATATGCAATGTAAACGTCTTGGTAGTCAAAAACTGTATGTGTTTGTGACCATGTAAATGTTTAGAGTCCGAAATACCTGTTTCAAATGCTAGGAATGCATGGAAATATGCCACAAATGATCTGCCTTCGAAAACTGACCCCAATGCAATGAATTGAATACGTTTACCATTTACCAAGCATGGAGTGGTGATAGGACTCCTGCAATGTGCCCCCCCCAGTTCTTAGTTAGTTTATAAACGCCATTAAGTATAGTTAAGTATCATAAACCATAGTTTTGGAGTTATAAACAACATAGATATCTAGGGGGGCCCACATTGTAAGAATGTTTGCACATGACTCCCCTATGCGACAACCATCATGGCCCGCATGGCCCCTGGCCCCTCATGATGACGGGTTATGAATGACATGTAACGACGAGGGGTCCAAGGACTTTACAGCCATGGCCATAGATCCTGTTTCTATACATGTGTACACTACTGTAAATATTATTGCACATACTAATATATAGATAATATATATATATATATATTTATTTACATACATTACATTACATTACATTACAATACATTACAATACATTACATTACATTACAAAACATTACATAACATTACATAACATTACAAACATACATTACATTACATTACATTACATTACGTTACATTACATTACATTTCATTACATTACATAACATTACAATACATAACATTACATAACATTACAATAGGTTACATTACATTACATTACATACATGCATGCATACATGCATATATATATATATTTATTTATATATATATATGTATATATATATATGTATACACTTATAAACACATATGATGTTCTTCTACACATAGTCACGCATCCCTTTTTTTACATGCCAGTACAAACATCGCTCGAAAAAAAAAAAAAAAACGAGCATAGATATTGAAAAATGTGAGCCCAATGGATCCCAATGGATCCAAGCACTACCAGAAACAAAACACCCCATTGTCATGCTTCCTCAGGTACGGCTGGATCTATATACAGAGAGTATACAAGTATTTTAAACTTCCACCATTTTAAATCATCCCCAGGTTAAGTGTCGTGGGCAAACCCTGTTAACGTTGCTCAGCTAGGGTGTCAACTCCTGGTGATTCCGGTCCCAAAAAGTAGCAACTTATCGAGTATCGCCTTATATAACAACCCCAAAAAAAAATATATATATGTATATATATATATGTATATATCTATATATATATATATATAGACAAACAAAAAACAAACAAAATAGTGATCGCTTGCTTTATGAATTATGTTTTAATCTTTTGGCGGCTATATACTATACCCCACTAATGTGGCTAAGAACAAGGTTGCCAACCACGACCAGTATGACTAACCGGGTATTTTATGAGCTAAATTAGGATGGAGAGAAAAATGGACCCCGACCAGCCAACTTCCTGCAGTTACTGCCGTTTGGAAATCTAAGGTTGTAATCAAAAGTCCACCATGTGTTGATGTATTTGCTGCTGACAAACATAAATTCTCCAGTTCACTTAAAGCGAGTTCAACTCATTCAGCTTCAAATCCCCAACAATTTTCATGCTGACCCCAAGCAAAACCCATTGACCCAGACCCAAAATGCCAAAATGAACATCTCAGTTTTTGGCCGCAGTCGCGCCGCGCAAGGACCGCTGCGGGACATCGCCGCCGGGGGATGGCATCACCAACGGACGCAAAAAAGGGCGATATCACAGAAATCAGTAGCTCAGCTTGGGATTTCTGGTAGATTGATAAATATGTATATACGATTGTATACATACAGTTATAATCAATTATATGCATATCGATTTAGTTAAT